ATATATAATATATATATGTTTTATTTTTAATAAGCTTTAACTAAAGGTATAATTTATGCTTAGAAAGTAGATATTAATATCAACAAAGTCTAACATAGTTGAATTCTTTAAACATGTTGATAGAGATTTGATTCTACGGTCATGTATATAGAAAAAGAAAAAAAAAAACTTTGTTAAGAAAACAAAATTCACTTCAATAATTCTGACGATTTAAAAAAATTAATGTTGGACTATAATTTGACACCTTAAACCCTCTTTACACGATAGCCGTGCCCCTAATTTTTGGGGCTGGTTGTTTTATGACGTTTTGGGCTAAGTTCCAGTACTTGCTAGTCAAACTAGTCCATTCAAGTTTTGGGTTTTGTTTGGGGCCAGATTCTATTAACGTTTGGGCAATATTAGATTTTGGATTGGGTCTCTGTAATTGTTTGAGTCTTCTAGATCATAGGATGTTGTAATGGGATAATACAAAAAAAAATATATATATATATATATATAAATAATAAAACAAACTGTACAATAAAGATATTAAATAAAATTATTGATCTCTTATTCATTCTCCGAAAAGATAGAAACTAATATAGGACATTTTTAATCATAGAAACTAAAATCTAAAGTTTATAAAATTTTAAAGATCAAAACTTACATTAATATATCTGTTTCTTATATATCAATAATATTCAATGCAATCGATCATAGACTTAACTACTCTTTCCATCCTATTTCTTAAGTAGTTTAAGATTAATTCAATGGATTAAGATATAAGAACATCTAATAGATGAAATTTGGATTAAAAAATTCTTATTAGTAGAATTAATATTAATGTATTCATTGGTTGAGTACCCACTCTCTAATAAAAGAAAGAAGTGGGTATTTGATGGAGATAATGTTTAATAAATAGAGATATAATCCAGAAAAAAGGGTAATTTGCAGCTGAAATTTTAAAACAATTGTTTATAAAAAAAAATAAAACTAAAAAAACTGAATATAAATGAGATGGAATGTGTAGATTCTTTAGGCATATTATAAATTAGTATCCAACTTTGGATTGAATGATAAAAGTAGGTTTCTTGTATTAAAAATATGAAGATATTTGTTGTGGAATAAAAAACAACCACAAAGGTCGTGTTCCACAATGTTAATCAATTTTGTTTGACGTGAGCCACCTTGATTGAAGGGTGTGACAAAGTTAGAGCTTTCCAAGAGAAGAAAATTGATTGCAATTGCAATGTGTGTGTGTTGTGCATGTGCAACGTAACTTCATTTCACAAGGTCTATACATATATAACAACCCTCTAATCTAACTTTTCTTTCTATTTACCTTTTTCTACACGGCTCTATGATATGAACAGAGAAATATTCGTGACAAAGTCTTCCTAATTACCATCACAATCGAGATTATGCCATCCGATCAAAATCAAATCCCATATATAATTAATGGAATGAATCACAAATCTAGTGCTTCATTACTTAGAATTCCCAATACAATTCGATGTTCGTATGAAAAAAAAAAAAAACTAAGGGGGTTTAATACAAGGAAAATCTTTTCATGTCTAATGATAATAATAAAAAAAAAAAGAGTCCCAATTTTATTTATGCTAAAAATGTGGAACACGTCCAATTTCAACCTCAGAAAAATAAGCATGGGCAACAAAGACCGAAAGATATTAGACAAATAATTGCGCAACTACTACAAAATGTTGGGAAAGAAAGCAGAAACATGTTAATAAAACCTCGTTTGGCCGACAAGATCAGCCCGATGACGAAGCTTTTACAGAAGAGTTCTGCTTTCTCGTGGAACGAGCCATGTGAAGAGGCATTTGTAGCGCTGAAAGAGATCTTAGCGTTGACGCAGATCCTTACGAGACCCGGGCAAGAACGATACCCATATGGAATGCCTCAAACACAACCGGAGCCTACAACACAAGAGGGTCGACCGAACGTCGGAGCCCAGCCTAACCTCCATGATGACTTGCGCGTATTGCATGAGGAAATGGCAACTATACGTAGACAGAGAGAAGCCGATGCCAGGAAGTTGGCCGAGCTTCGTCGACAGAACGCCGAGCTCCGGAGTTTGAATCAAACCTATATGTCGTCAACAAAATCGCCATGAAAATCGGCGATCTCAACCCAGCCGTGGCAATGGATCGGCTAAGCACTGCCCTAAGGCTCGGACCGTTTGTGAACAGCCTGTGTAAGAAATCGCCCAGAGATATGAACGATCTCCGACGCCGAGCTGAGAAGTACATGCAAATGGAGGAGTTGGCGGAGACCAGAAATCAGGCTAGGGCCAAAGAGGGTTACAGCCGAAAAGAATACAGTCGAGAGCTAGTGAGAAAGGTGAATGCCGAGCAGCCGAATACTTGTCCCCCAAGAGGACCACGTTACGCAGCATATACGCCCCTCAATGCGAGTAGGGCCAAAATATTGGAACAAGCTCTAGCGTATGAAATTCTCACCATGCCGAAACGAGCAAACACCCTTCCTAGGACAGACAAAGCCAAGATGTGTCGATACCATCGTAATAGGGGGCACTCAATTGAGGAATATTTTGCCTTCCGAGACAAGTTGGAGGAACTCATCAAACAAGGTCACCTGAGGAGTTTTGTAACCTCCCAAGATCACACTCCAACTGCAAATCACCGCCAAGCAACAAGGGAGAGGTCATACCACCCTCGAGAAGCAAGATACACGAGGGACCGTCGACACTGATCCCAATCAGCCGAGAGGAGGGACCATTTAGGGCACTCCCGGGAAGATAACGACCGACCAAGAAAGGTGATAAACATAATAGCTGGAGGCTTCGCTAGAGGAGGATCCACCTCCTCGGCACGGAAAAGGCACTTTCGGGCCGTGCGATTGGTAAGCATTGTGAATTAGCCGAAGACGCCCCGGATGCCACCGATAACATTTTCTGATCGGGATTTCCGCGGCGTCGACCCCGTCTAGGACGATCCCATGGTGATTTCTGTTGAAATGCACAACTGCATTGTGAAGAAGACCTTGGTCGATCAAGGGAGCTCAGCCGACATTTATACTGAAACACCTTTGTGCAGATGGGGATCTTGGAGGAGAGCCTAGAACCGTATCACGAGCCATTGGTAGGATTCTCGGGTGAAAGAGTGATGACGAGAGGGTGCATTGATCTATACACTCGTTTTGGCTTCAACCAAAAGACTTTCTGAGAATTCAAAATCCGTTTCATTGTGGTGCACGCCAACACATCTTACACCATCCTGTTAGGCCAACCCTCCATTAATGCCCTTGGGACCATTGTCTCAACCCCTCACCTATGCATGAAGTTCTCATCGAGGGATGGGCAAGTGATAACTGTACACGCCGACCAAAAGACAGCGAGGGAATGCTACCTTTCTAGTCTGAAGGTGCAGCCCATTGCCGACCCTCCGGCGACAAAGGGTGTCAATGTAGTAAGGCAGGAGATGATGGACGACATCAACCTTGACCCTCGGATAGGTGAAGAGGAGCGAATCGAGCCGGCGGAGGACCTCATTCCCTTTCAGCTCGGCTGAGCACCCGAGCAAATTACACACATGGGATCCCAACTAAGCGAAGCCGAATCAAACCGGGTGAAACGCATTATTCGTGATAACAAAGACTTGTTTGCATGGATGGTGTCGGACATGCCAGGAATAAATCCCAAGTTTCTTTGTCATCGGCTTGCCGTATGCCGATACGCACGACCGGTCGCTCAAAAGAAAAGAAAAATGAGAGATGAGAAGAGAAAAGCGGCGAATGCTGAGGTGCAAAAGTTGTTGCAAGCCAAGTTCATAAGAGAAGTCACCTACACCACATGGCTGGCTAACATAGTGTTGGTCAAAAAGGCAAATGGGAAGTGGAGGATGTGTACCGATTACACCGACCTCAACAAAGCCTGCCCCAAAGAAGCTTACCCACTCTCCTGCATCGACCGACTCGTCGACGGCGCATCCGAGCACGCCAACTTTTGTTACAAAGTCGTGCCATTTGGACTGAAGAATGCTAGAGCAACCTACCAGAGGTTAATGGATAAGGTGTTTTAGAGGCAAATTGGGCGGAACATTGAGATTTATGTTAATGATATGGTGGTCAAGTCCAATTTTATGACCGACCACATAGCTGACCTAGGTGAAATTTTTGGTGAGCTACGCAAGCATAACATGAGGCTCAACCCCGAGAAGTGCACTTTCGGGGTCAAGGGAGGTAAATTTTTAGGATTCATGCTATCAACTAGAGGAATAGAGGCTAACCGAGACAAGTGCAAGGCTATCTTAGGCATGCGAAGTCCGAGCAACCTCAAAGAATTGCAATGGTTATCCAGAAGATTGGTCGCCCTATCCCAATTCCTCCCTCGTTTGGCCGACAAGATCAGCCCGATGACGAAGCTTTTACAGAAGAGTTCTGCTTTCTCGTGGAACGAGCCATGTGAAGAGGCATTTGTAGCGCTGAAAGAGATCTTAGCGTTGACGCAGATCCTTACGAGACCCGAACCCTCGAGCCATTCCATTAAAACGCCAAAACATCAACTACGAAAACTAAACCAGCCAAATACAAGCCTTCATCTAGAAGTAATATACACGGTATTTTAAATTTAAATTTTTATTTATTTATTTATTTATTATTATTATTATTGTAATTTTTACTTATAAAAAAATACAAAACCTTCGTCCCAATATATCTTTAACTTATGTTGGAAGACAAAAAACTGAAAGAAAGAAAAAATGGAATACAATATATTTTTTTAATGTTTGGACAGAAAATAAAATTATAATATAAAAGAAATTTACTTTTAGAAAAAAAAATTAAAATTTTATTTTCCTTCCACTTTTATTCAACTTATTTTTTTTTTCTTTTCTCTCACTCTCCTTTTAGGCCCAACACCAATATAATTATAGGCACTAATTAATTACATAGTTGACTTTGAAAATAAGACCTGTTTGTATACTTTTGTTATATATATATTTTTTGTTTATCGTCTTTAATTTTAATTAAATATAAAATTTTCATATTGTTTTCAATTTGTAAATTGCTTTTAGAGATTTGTAAGGAAAAAATATTTTCACTATTTTTTTTACAAATACTTAAAAATGAAAAATAAAAAAATAAAATGCCAATTTTGTAACTAAAAATGAAAAAATATATAAATAGAAAATATTTTCTAAAGTAAATGGTTCTTCTAAAAATTTTAATATTTAATATAAATTGATTAAACCTATTGACTAGCAATCAATTTACATCAAAATAACATTTGAATTGTGTTTCCCAAAATAATTAAAGAGCTTATAAACTCTTTTAACCACCTTATAAGTTAGTTTGATTAAAATAAGTTTGTTTGATAAATGAGCTTATCTTAGAGATTATAGTTTATTTTAAGCTAATTGAAGTAACTTATAGGTTTATAGTTTTTTTTTCTCTTTTCTTTTTATTCTTATTAATTACTTGAATTTTTTTAAACCTTTTTTAAGATTAAAAAGTAATTTTTTTTCTTATTATCTCATTCTCATTATTAAATAAATAAATAAATATATAATAACAAGTTATTGGTTTGAGTGGTACTAGACTTAATCCTCTTAAAATTATTATTATTTAATTTTTATATTAAAACTATTTATCATTTTAATTGTTAGTGCCAAAGAAATTTTTAATTTAAAATAATGTACCTTTATACATAGATATACGACTTTTCATTCATTTTTCGATTTTATAAAAAATTAAAATAAATTTCTCAATAAACTAAAATTAGTTTGTACATAAGTTTAAAATATAATATATAAATAAAAAATAATAATAACTTTATAAGTCAATTTTGTAAGATTAAATTAGATTCAATATATATTTTTTTAAGACAATAAGTATCCAAACATATCCTTACATGATAATTGATTTATTTATTTATTTATTAGGTCATTTGTTATTGATCATTATTGGACTAACAACAGATGATCGATCCACAAATTTCATGTTCAAGATGTCTGGTCCTTAACATGAGATGTGTATTAGAGATCTCACATTAATTACTCGTAAGACCAAAATATAATGTATAATTGGGAAATAATTTTTATCAAGATAATTTTACAAGGTTAAGTTATGCTGATCCATATTTTTGAAAAGAACTTCTATAAATTATTTTTAACTAAGGAAAAATTATTTTATTTTTATCATAATTTTCTTTTTTAAAAGTGTCCCAGAGAAATTTAGCCAGATAAATCCTAGGTAATAGACCGCAACTGTTTTAGTCATCCACGCATATGATTTTGAAAATTCTACTATTCTTTCCCACGAATCATTCTTACAACATAAATTCCATGCCAAGATCCCTATAAATACCTCTCAAGATCTCCAACATTATTCATCAAACACCCTCCCTTTTCACTAATAATTTGGAAATCACTATTAACAAAAATGGGGTTGTGCAAGGTTTCGTTTTCTTTATTTTGTATGTTGGGTTTGGTGATGGTGGGTCATATGGCCAACGCTCAAGACTCACATGCAGACTACGTGAACGCACACAACGCTGCAAGGGCACAAGTGGGTGTTCCAAACTTGGCTTGGGATGATACCGTTGCTGCTTATGCACAAAACTATGCGAACCAACGTAAAGGTGACTGCCGACTGATGCACTCGGGTGGTGGGAATTATGGGGAGAATATTGCAATGAGCACTGGTGACCTAAGTGGCACTCAAGCTGTCAAATTGTGGGTCGATGAGAAACCCTACTATGACCACCAATCTAACTCTTGTATTAACGGTCAGGAGTGTCTGCATTACACTCAGGTTGTCTGGAGAAACTCTGTTCGTCTTGGATGTGCCAAAGTAAGATGTGATAATGGAGGCACTTTCATCACTTGCAACTATTCTCCCCCTGGCAACTATGCTGGCCAAAGTCCCTACTAACTTGTATTAAGCATGTTCCAGTGTTGCACCTAACTCTTTGCTTGGGTTGCTTATATGTTATGAATAAGTGATAACAACATGAAACTATGCATATATATAAATATTAAATAATATCACGAATTTAAGCCACGAGTTTAAATTCATGTTATAATAATAATATAATAGTGTTTCTTTAGTATATCGCTTCATAGTGTTTCTTTAGTTGGATTAATATCTTTTAAGCTACAAACTTGTCGAGTTTAATTGGTTTAATATTTTTTTCTTTATAAAATTTAATTGAAAATAGAAAATTTAATATTTCAGCGATAATATAATCGGTTCTTGTGAGAGGCAAAGACCTTTGGTTTCAGGCATATGACAGTGGCTCTTACCAAGATATAAAAAAACAAATAAGAAAAAGGAAAAACATTTTGGAACAGATTATTTTAAGGAGTTTTGGGTTGGATAAAGTTGGAGAGAGTGACAAGATGTAAATGATCCACATTTAACTAATGCGGCGGCCAGAGAAGACCGATGCCATCGATCACATGCTGCAAAGAGTTTAGTTTAGGGTAATTATCTTATTCTCTAATCATTTCTTGGTGGGCAGAGGTCAGCTTTTACTGTAAACACACAAGAAAAGACTGAAAAGTAAATGGGTTTATCTCGTTTGGGTGCCCAATTGGCCATGTTACTTGTTAGTAATGACCAATGACTTTTCTAAGTCAACTAGAGGAGTGCTTATCAACCACGTTATTATCACAAATTGATGCTGTTGCAACACATTAACTGTTGTAATTCCAAAACTAATTAACAACATAAATTCAAACAAAAACTCTAAGTTCACATGTTTATATAAATAAACTGAAGGTGAATTGCTAGTTATATATAGGTTGACATATTGATCTAAAAATGTTAATTGAAATTAAAAAAATATAAACATATATAATTTTATACTATAATTATCTATCATCTAAAACATTTATAATAAAGTTAAGACATAAAACAATTCCAATAATATTATTTATATAATAACTATTATTGTCTTTTTTAAGAAGAAAAAATAGGATGAGGAGCAGATGACGTGTCACCCACGTCTAACTTGCATTTCATTATTATAAATTCTTCTTCATATATGTTTGAAGTGAACCAGTCAATTGGACTACGGTCATTGATTCAAAATCCTTTTAACACTTGTAGATATTCTCTTTTCTCATCTTCAAAAGTCGTCTCCTCATTTAATTAGTAACAAAATAGCCTCATAGGTTGAGTATATCTTTTCTCCGCAACTTCCAAACATAAAATTACATGTCTTTCTCTCTATATATAACTTTTAAAATACTTATTATGAAAAACAATATCTGTTTAAGTACATGACAATCTATTTATAAATAACAGTGTAAAATATCTCTACACTTTTAGTATATTCTAATTAAACTATTATTTATAAAGTATTTGTTTTATAGTTACTACTATGAAAAATTACTTGATAAAAACTTAGTTATCAAATATTTACGATATCAAATAAGTCTTTTAGGTGACATAAAAAAATACGTCTCACTTTTGCAGTCTAGTGAAAGATGTCTTTACGTTGTTTCAGTCAATTTTGTAATCTAAAAATAGTTGAAATATTATCCGCTTTGAATAATCAATTTCACTATTTCGGTCAGCATTAACTTAAAAAAGAAAACACATTTTTGAGCATATAATCGATCGACACAGCTGATGCTGGCATGGCAGCATATGCGACTCTGCGCAGGCATATTAATGCAGAACTGGCACTGATACATTTATTTAATTCCAACAAAGTTGGGTACGTATGCAAGCATGGTGAACATGTCTTAGTTAATTATCATCCGCAGCATGATTGAAGCTCAATGGTATTTGGAAAGGATCAATATCATAAGGCCTCTGATTAACATAGTTCCCCGGTGGATCATAATTGCAGCTTATGATGGTGCTGCGACCATCGTTGCAACGCACCTTGGCACACCCTAGACGCACAGAGTTGCGCCAAACCACTTGAGTGTAGTGCCTGCACTCCCCACCAACGCACTGGTTGGAGTTGTAGTCGTACTTTGGCTTCTCTCCCACCCAAAGGTTCACAGCACCTACGCCTGTCATGTCACCACTGCTCCATGCAAGGTTCTCACCGTAAGGACCCCCTGAATGCACCATCTTGCAGTTTCCCTTCAGTTTGTTCACGTAGTTTTGCGCATACGAGGCAACGGTTGCGTCCCATCTCATAGGCCCCACACCGACTTCCGAACGCGCTTTGTTGTGAGCGTTCAGGTAGTCTTGGGGTGAGTTTTGTGCGTTACATACTGAGGATGTGGCTGCCACTACGAGGATAACAGCAATGATAGATGAGATCATTGGCAAACCCATGTTGGGTTTTTAGATCAATGGTGATGATGAGTTGTGGTTAATTAGGGACAATGTTAGAAGCCTATTTATAAGGACTTTTTTGTTTTGGGTTGGATCAACTTGGAGAGTTATCACACGACACGATGCAATGCAAATGGACATTTAACTAATGCGGCGGCTGAACAAGTATAACATGCCACAGGCTGCAAAGAGTTTTAGTTATCTTATTTTACAAATAATTAATTAAGAAGAATCAAATTCTTCGTGTGGGACAGAGGCGGCCACTGCAACTTTTATCACCTTTTACTATAATTAAAACAGAAAAAAGGGTTTATCTATTGTTAATTAGTTTTGGAAACTTTAATATATATCAATATTTAATAAAAAAATATTTTACGTATTATTTAGATAAAATTTCAATTATGATTGGTCAGCAACACTGTATATAAGTTTTTTCTTTAGTTTTAACCCACTCGATCACGTTGTTCGTTTTCAAAATGGGGTGTCCAGCTCGACCATGTTAGCAATGACTGATGACTAACGACTTTTCCAAGTCAACTATATTTTAGGATAGCTCTTATATATCAAGCACGTAATATCACATAAATTGAAACAAAAACTCTACATCCACATGGATATATGGATGATGTCAAAAAATTTCAGCTATTCAGGGTAGACTTCCGGTTATTTATTTACGCAACTGTATTATAAAGATCAGGTCTTAGTTTTCTTGGATATTTTGGCAAGATATTGAACGTCATACCAAAATATTTAAAGGGGGTTATTAATTCGCATCAATGATGAAGATACCTAGCAGGAGGATGAATGATGGAAAGATTGCAAATCTTTCGAAAGAAAACAACAAATACCCATGTCAGATATTTTAATAAAAACAATAATACAACAAGTAGGTGAGTATGTTTTTTATTTAATCAAAAAAGCATGTCATTTACATTTCATTATCCTAAACTATGCGATAAGTAAGTCATTTAATTTCGACAAATACATGTTATCTGGCCATAAGGTATCAGATTCTCAGAACCAAAACAAGGTTTATAGCCCTCCCACAGTGCTCTTAAACTTTTGTGCACATCAACCATCTTTGGCCTTTGCTTTGAAGACGCCTTAACACAGTCACATGCAACTTCGAGTAGACGATGGATTTTATCATCAAAACCCGTCCCAATCAAAGATTGGTCAATGGCATCATAAAAGTCAACAGGACCAGTGAACAAGTTGTTACTGATATAGTTCACCAAATGCCCATTAACACTGTCAGAAGAATCAGTCATTGGACTTAATCTTTTCCCTGTTATGAGTTCAAAAAGGATCATTCCAAAGTCATACACATCCTTCTCAGCAGAACCCTTCACCCCAAGTCCACCAATCAAAAACAATTTGATCCTCACATGATCTTCAACCGTCTGGTGTAGGAACTTTGCCTTGCCAAAATTGGAAATTTTTGGCCCAAAATTCTGGTCCAGCAAGACACACTCTGAGTCTAAATTGAGATGAACTATCTTGCACCTTTTATGGAGCCAAGATAAACCTCTTGAAAGCCCAATTGCAATGTGAATTCTCATTGGCCATTCTAATTTTACTGCTTGGTGTCCTTCATCAGAATGTAGCCAATCACTGAGCCTTCCATTAGACATGTACTTGTACACCAAAATCCTTTCATTTTTTTCTATGCAGAATCCAAGCAGTGGAACCATGTTTGTGTGCCTGTGTCTCCCTGTAATCATTGTTTCAAGTAGGAATTCCCTCTTGTACTTCTCAGCATCGTATAGTCTCTTCACTGCCAGAAAACAGTTATTTGGTACCTTTGCCTTGTACATAATCCCTGTCGTTCCTATCCCCAACACGTTATCTGGGCTAAAGTAATCAGTTGCCTTGCATAATTCCACGAAGCTCATTTTAGGAATCAATCTCTCCAACGATCTTGATAGCTGTAGATGGAATGTCACTACACGTTAGCCCGTATGACAGTAAAATTTTGAAAGTAAATATGTAACATTGAAATTAATAAGATATACAAACTCACATTATATTAGATTTTCCTAATATTAAAAGTGATACAAGCCTTTATATATGAAGCGCGATCTCTGACCAGATAGATAGAAACTCTAATAAAATAAAATATGATTAACATAACAAAACATCTAAATTAATGGTAATTAAAATTACTTTTGTAAATCAATTTTCTTAGTTTTTCTATGATAACAAACCTCACAAAAAATGAAAAATAATTTTTTAATATTTTAAGCTAACTTCTTTAAAAGTTAAAAGACTAATTTTTTTTTAATAATTTTAGTGTGTCCATCTATACTGCAATACTTCAAACAAGAAAAAGGTGTCTGTGCTTCATACGTGTTCATGCATCCCACATACCAAAAAAATAATAAAGCATCAGTGTTTGAGCTCAAATATAGTGCCACAACGGAGAGAAAAAGTGAGGGAGTAACCTCTTTGCTTGCTTGCTCTTGCAGGGCCAGAGTTTCTTGTCTAGTGTTTTTTTGGTGGTTCTGATTGTTTCTTAAAGGATGTACAGCGTTACTTCTCTTTTTGAATTCTGTCCAGGGTGCATAATAGTATATGAAAGCAACTAGGACACACGTTGCTGAAGAAACAAAACCAATAATAAAACTATACCAAAACGATCTACCAAACAAGCTCTCATCACAGCTTTCTAGTAGTGCTCCCCCACAGAGTCCAATATTGTTGGCATAGCTCAAACTCACATTAACATTGCTGACAAAAACAGGCACTGGCCCTTCTAACAAGTTGTTTGCAACACTAAAATCTCCAAGCCTGGGAAGCAACCCAAGTTCTTGTGGGATTTGGCCAGTTAACTGGTTGCCATCAAGTCTAAGAGTAATTAAGCCTGACAATTTGGCTATACCCTTTGGAATCTCACCATTGAAATTGTTGCTTGAGAGATCAAGTAAGGTCAGATGTGGAAGCTTTGTTGATATATCTGATGGGATATATCCAAAAAGCTCGTTGTGTGAGAGGTTCAGAGTCTGCAACCATGTGAAATTTTCAATGCAAAGAGGAAACTGGCCCTTCAACCCCATATTAGAAAGCGAAAGACCGATTACTGTATCTTCCACATAATTCCAGCATTCCACACCGCTAAATCGGCATATTTCACCTTCAGTGATGCTCTCGAAATCCCAGCTAGAGAAGTGACCAAACGGGTCCAATTTCTTGATGGTTTGCAAGCAATAGATTTCACTTTCAGCACCATAACCAGCCATAAAGAGACGCAAAAATGTCCACAAGGTCAGGAGAACATCCAAATTTCTTGTGGCAGGTTTCATTTCTGAAGGCATATACGGGTGCCACTAAACTAGCTAGTGAAAATGGACAAATCGAAACATTTGTAGTTCATCTTGTTTTTTTTCCACACTTTCTGAAGTTGTTTTTAAGTATCATAACATGCATGTCAAATCACTTCTATTGTGTTTTGCAATTTCCTAGTTGGCTTGTTTGTTGTGATGGCGAAGACTTCTGAACGCATTGACCGTGTCATAGTTTCGTTTTTCGTTACTAAATAAACTGTATCGTGATGCATAGCAATTTCCTGAAAGTTCAGTTTGAATTTTCACATAAGCATTATATGCTAGTCCTTTTAGTACTAGAGCGTTAATTACTGCTATATTTTGATTTTGGTATTATATATTAAGAAAAATTGTAATCAGACCCAAAGTCCTTTCATGAAAATTATTAATGTCATTGTTTCCAGAGACTAGATGCTTATAATTTTGTTAGTGGCTTTCCTTAATTACTACTCCAGAGAACGCCTTGTAAGCTACGCAAGGGCAACCAATCAAACGAGCTTTCGACAACTCACTCCGACCAATATGATAGATAGTATACGAGAACTTTTTAATATCTAATTTTTATTCTTTAATAATTTAAACCTTTGACTGGAAATTAACTGGTCTTTATATTTAACAAAAGAGTTAATTAGAATATAGAGTAAAGAAATTATTTTAAAATTTTTTAAGTCTTTTACAATACACTAAAAAGTAAAATATTCTTAATTATATTCTCTCTCTCAACTAATCATACGGTTAACGAAGAACAAAAAATAAATATAAATATTAGTTGATACAACGCGATAGAAAGAACAAGATGGCTAGAGAAAAATAAGCATTAATGGAGTGTACGAAGAGAATTATTCATATAACATTGCTATATATGCAAAATTCTATGGATATAAATATTTATTAAGAGTGACAAAATATATCAGTCTGACCTGTTATGAAAAAGAGTTTTTTTTTTTTTGCAAAAATGACATCTTCAGTTAAATGGTAAGAGAAAACTTTATTATTATTATTATTATTATTATTATTATTTATTATTATTTATTATTATTATTATTATTATTATTTTGTCTATTATTATTTGGACAAAATGAAAATTATTATAACATGAATTTAAGGCTGATACATATATATATATATTATATTACATGCATGGTTGCATGTTCTTAATGATTTATTCTTAACATATAAGCAGCCGAAAGAGGTAGGAGGTAGATGGTCAGTAGGGTCTTTGGCCAAGAATGTTGCCGGGAGGAGCATAGTTGCAACCAATGAAAGTGCCTCCATTGTTACATCTAACTTTGGCACATCCAAGACGAATGGAGTTTCTCCAAACAACCTGAGGATAAATTTTTGTTAATTTTATAAAATAATAATTAATTTAATTTAACCTATATATTATTATCAAGCTTCCTAAATTCCTAGAAATTCTTCGAGAGATATAATTATATATACTTTTTATGAGTCATTTATTTATTCGATATGAGTATTTAATAATTATGAGTAACAATTAGAGATGAAAGAAATAAACTTTTTTTTACTTAATGTGAAACTTTGATTCTAAAAGTAGTAACATTTTTCAAGAAAATGTTACAAAATAACCTATGTGATATTTTTTTATTTGATATGAGACTTTGATTTTGAAAATAAAAAAAATAATATTAAAATAAAAAATGTTACTATATCTATAATGACATTTTTAAAAAAAATATTACAAAATAACTTATTTATTTAATATAGTAACATTTTAACAATGTAAGAAAGAAAATGTTACTAAATAGTAGTGTTTGCAAAAGGTCATTCATGTCAAAATTATTGATTCAAGTAAAACTGAAGTCGATTACTTTAAATAAAGTTTTGGATTTGAGTCTTCATGATGAAAGAAAAGGATTGGAAGAAGAGATGCACTAAAGTTATTCAACAAGTCAAATTCTTTTGACAAAAGTTAATTATTAACAAAATCAATTGATACTTTTTTATACAAAAATTGTGGGGGAAAAACTTCACCATCCTGAGTGTTAGAGCCACGTTGGTAAACTTCTTTCCTAAAGTTAAGTTTTTCACATGAATCCAGTAAATAAAAACCTTCATGTGGAGATCGATTGATACTTTATATTAATAATATGTTTTTTAAAAAAATTTAACTATTAAATTAATAATTTTTTTATAATAATATTAATAAATTTTACAAAATTTAACACTTATGGCAATTAATCTTAACGTGTACACTAGTTTAAAAATGCGCACGTGGTTGTGTTTGCGCCAGATAGTCCTAACAAATCATAAGAGTATACACTCATTTACAGTAGAAAATATTTTCTATTTTTTTTTGTTTTTTTTATATTTAGTTATAAAAATGTTCCTTTATTTTAATTTTTTCTATTTTCAAATATTTGTATAGAAAATAGTGAAAATAATTTTATATTTGTTTTCTTGCAAATACTTTAAAAAATTACGAATTAAAAAATAATATAATAATTTTATTATTAAAATAAATAAATAAAAAGTAAAAAAAGGCTCTTTTAGTTTCAAAGTCAACTATGTTTATTAAATGGTGCCTATTTTAGTGGTGTTGAGTCTACATAACTTCCGCGACATTATAAATGGTTAAGATGAATCTTTTGTATTTGTATTGTTTATAGTAACTTTAGTTTTCCTTGTTTTGATTTAGTTGATATTTATAACAACATATCTAATGGTTGTTTTTAAAAACAACTTACTTATCAAGTTAAAATCTTTCAATAACTCACTTTTATAAATTTTTATTTGTTTTTATAATTTTAAAAAATTAATTTAATTATTATAATTAAATATTAATTAATGAAATATAATAAATAATATTTTAACATGCACAAAAAATATGATAATAAAATTTACACAACATGCATAAAAATATTAAATATTCAAAAACAAAGAAATTACATAATAAAATAAGAAATACATGAAAATAAGAAATATATAACAAATTATTTATAACAATTCATAAAAAATAATTTTGTTATTCTCATGTCCAAAATATTGATAAATGTGTTTCATTAAGTCATTTTAAAGTTGTTTGTACTTTTATTTGTCATGAAGATGTGTCCTTTTATGTAAGGATGTTGTTGTACACTAGTAAAAATTTTATTTCCAAATTTTTAAAATTCCAATTTTGTATTGTGGCTGTGTTAATAGTTTGATATATTTCGCATTAATAGTTTTGATGTATTTTGAAGTTATTGTATCCTCTTAGAGAGTAAACTTTGAATGTTTGATTGAAGTTTTGATTTTTAAGTTGCATTCTGGTTTTGTTTTTGTTGTTTAAGAGTCTGCTTGGAGACCATGATTAAGGGTGATTTAGAAGAAAAGATGAATAATTTGCTGAAAAAATATATATCCTAAAGATAAGGATTTGCTAGGAATTTAAAAAAAGACAAAAACTTCTATATATTAGTTTTTTTTGTCTCACTATAATAAATAATGGTTAGACATAATAAAAATATAATTTTAAAATATTAAATTTTCTTTATTTCTTATATAATTCTACTCAACTAAATAATTACAAATTTCACACTATTTTCTATCAAATTAATTTTTATTTATTATATCTGATTCCTTTTAATCCCCAACCTGAACAAAGCACAAGTGTTTGATTCTTCTTCTTTAATCTATACCATTTTTTTTCTGCAGTTTGAGTTGTTGGTTGGGAGACTTTCTGCTAAAAAAATTATTTTTTAATTCATAAGCATTGATGCTTATACATTTAAGAGACTTTTATTTTTAAGCAACTCATTGTATCATATCATTGTACTTCAATGGAGATTGTTTATTGGTATTGTTCCTTAATAATAAGATACAAGTTAAGGGCCCGCAACTCCAATGAAAACAATTGACATGAATTGCTTAGTACATTTAAAGACATTATTGATGATCCCTATTGTATCATGCATTGTGTTCATACTCAATTTTTCTCCAATGGAAAAATTTTTGAGATACTTTAAGAGATTCATTATTTTTTTTTTTTAATTTTGACTTTATTAAGTAATAATTGTTTGGTGGTTCCAACAGGATCCAAAATATTATTTTTTTTAATAATAAAAATAATTATTTGTTAAAGGAACTAATTTTTTTAAAGCAACTTTTATCGTCACACTAAATTGCTTCAACAAGAGAGTTGTTTCGAGCAATTGTAATTTTATTAAAATACCTTATTAAGCATCTTTTATTGAAAATGCTCTAAATCAACACTTTAATTGAATTGTTATAGTTATACAATTATTTGACTACACTTTTAAAATTTATTTTAGATTACTTCTTGTACTTGACCAATACTTTTAGATTTTTAAATTAGATTATACTTCTTGCATTCGATATTCAATAAAAAAAATTATTTATATTACAAGCATTGACTATAAGGTAATCATATGTTTAAATTGAGTGAAATTACTGTGAATGATATTGAATACTTAATGTAATTGTATACTTAAAATTTGAATTTAAGACTACCGATTAAACTGTAACAATTATGTTATCTACATTCTTAATAACTATTCAATAAATTCTGTTTATTATAAAAATAAATATGACCTTAATTGAGAGAGAGACAAAAATTTATCAAGTTAAGATACCATAGACTCACTGATTTAAAATAATAATAATAAATAAATAAAATGTGCTTTTTTTTTTTCTTTTTTTTTTTCCTTATTCAAGAACAATAGATGGTCCTTGAAAATGTTTAAATCATTAAGATTTTGTTGCCTATGCATATTTTTCTATGGTTATTGGATGGCTTCACATTTTTATAGTCTATAAATTTGGGACAGTGCGTTAATTATGACTTAGGAGATTAAAATCGAATTATGAGTGCGAATTATTTGATCATATATATAT